CATGATAAAATGGAATGCATGACCTACATATAAATGCAAAGTATAAATAAAACAAAATCAAGCATTTCTTCTTCTTCTTCTTCTTCTTCTTCTTCTTCTTCTTCTTCTTCTTCTTCTTCTTCTTCTTCTTCTTGGGAAGAAATAACTTATTTCTTGAATGATGTTTTTTTTTGACAATTTCGTGCTTCATGCATGCTCATAATTAACCAAAAGAGCTTATAGTTTCATTGTTATCCATTAACTTCCTGATCAGTTATAGCCTTAATCATGGGATTAAAGTCGATTGGGGTTCAAGCATTGTAACAACAACTAAACATGATAATTTCTCATGTACCCAAGAAGAGAAAAATGAAAGCTCCAAACTTTACACAAGAATTCCAGAAATGATTAGTGTACATATTGTGAATTTATTATCAGAAAATTTGGAAAATATTTGTGCACTAGTTACCTGGTTTTCCAGCACCATGGTAGCTTCCTTCTCCCAAAGATTGGTATTCTTCTCAGGAAAGTTTATCATATCTTCTTGGGAAAGATCTAATTAGTCCGGAAAATAAGAGTCCCTGGCTACATGTTTATAAGCTTTTCCTAGCACTTAATTCAAAGCAATGACAAGACGTCTGGAGTAAGAAGAACGCTAACCATTCATCTCTTCTAATTAGTTCGTAGAAGTTGGGAAAGGAGAGACAATAATTTGATGGAGAACAGTTTTTTTGTTTGAAAATTCAAGTTGAAGCAGAGCAGCTATTTTTTTTTTTTTATTGAACTTAGAGAATTTTTAGGGGTGGGGAATTAGTAGTGCTTGGTTGTAAAATTTAGGATTTCATGTCCTAACAGCTGCCCTCAAAGGGGTATAATCACTAGACCAATTAGTGTTGGACAAGGAAAGCAGAGCAGCTAATTGTCCATGGCTTGTGGGACCAGAAATTGCAGGAAAATAAACTGTGGATAAGGTAGCATGTGCATGCTTCCTTTGTTGTTCGACGAAATGTCTAAAAGAAGTAGTATGAGGAACTCATTGATCCAAAAAGTCTTTGACCCCATGTATGGTTCTCGCGTGTAGAGCGGAAAGCCGGAATTTGTCCGGAAACCACACGCCAGGAATGACTTCTTGGCTCTGGTCGCCCAAAATTTCTCCGAGAAATAATCCATGTCCCCCTAAAGAAGGAATTTCTTCGACCCCTAAACGGGGGGAGGTTAGCAGCAACAGTGATTATTTCCGGCAGAAAATTTTTTAAAGCATGTATGCTGGTAAAGGGCAGTGCATCCAAATAATTCAAAATGACCAACGGGTGTTTTTTTTTTTGAACAGATTATAAATTGGGTTGAGGAGAATCGAACCTAAGTCAAGAGGTTGGGGAGTGCACCTATTAAAGGGACAAAGTCACTGAGAATGCCAAGTGCAATATGATCAACCAGTTGAGGCAGGGGGATTCATTATTGATTATTCCCTTCGTTTTTCTTGTAGCTGCGGAGGGGCTTAATGGCCTGCGTACCTTTAAAGTTAGTCACAAAAGAATTAAATTCAAAACATATAAAAATTAATTTAAAAATACTGACAATAAATATTTAAAAAATATTAAAGGCTTAGTTACGTGAATGTGATTTGAATATCATGCATATGATTAATCTTCTGAGATATGCTGGATGGAAATAGTTTACGAAAGATCAAAGGCATACCCGTGAATGAGTAAAAGGAATTTTTTTTTTTTTTTCGTTTTGGCCATCGAATGATTAAAAGTCTATAAAAATATACTATTTGGTATAGGAAGCGTCTATTCATTTGGGAAAGAAACGGGTGTTTTGGCTTGAGTTCATTCATTTATTAATCATGTTAATTAGTACCATAGTATTATGGGAAAATGCAACATTTAATCCATTGTTTATAAGTGTCCTCGTGTGTAGGGGAGATTCAAGTTTAAGTCTTTGAACAGACACATAAAAAAATAATTTTTTTAAATATACAATATGAGATACGTTTTTAAAATTATTTGATAAAAAATTAATTTTAAATTAAGTAAAATTTGACTCAAAAACACTTTAATCTTAAATATAAAAAAACAAATCATATAAGAAAATGTAGCCTAAAGCTTACAGTTCATGTTAAGGATTGAAACATTAATTTGTAGCATATGCCTCACGTTCAAATAATATTTATAAAGTATCTAAAAATTTCAACGGCTCATAACTTTTTTGGGAATTTTCTTGTTAATAGATTATTATTTGTTTCATTATCAAACTACTTGGTCATCATGCCGGCTGAATCTAGAAATCCAACCATAAAATCAAAGAACATTTTAAAGTAGAACCATTTGGGTTTTTAACAAGAAAGAAACAAATGATCAAAAGGGCAAATTGGGACATTATCATCTTTTATTTATATATTTTCCTTCTTAATGCAAAACTTAAAATATCTGATTGCTACAGTCACAAACTTCTTTTATTGATATTTTTTTCATCTTTTTGATGCAGTGCAAAACGGTAATAAACAAACTTAAATCACGCTTAGATCCAGAACAATTCTGGTAAAAAAAACAAAATAGCAATTAATATTTAGGTTATTCAAAGATCTTTTTGCCCAGAAGAATTTGTAGGTAAATGAATGTATTCTATGTACATATTATAGTTTGAGATTAGTATTTATTAGTAAGACCTTTCATTCTCCATATTATGTTAGGTATGTTTAGTTTAAAAGAAACAGATTTCTCTCTTTTTTCTTTATTTAGATAAGTGAAAGAAATAAAAGAATAAAATAAAATAAATGATTTTTCTCCCCTTCAATTTTTTTGTAATTAAATAGGGGAATTCTCTTTCTTTTACTCTACTCTAACAAACCAAACATACCTCAAAAAAATCAGAAAAAAAAAATTAAAATTATATCATTTTATTAAAACACTATAAGAAAAGACCAAAACAAACTCATTTTTACTTTAAAAATAAATTATTTTAATTTTTTTAGTAAGATTTCAATGAAACAATATAATTTTGATGTGTTTAATTTTTTTAAAAATCCAATTGATAAACACTTCACCCTTATAGTTAGTTTTTCTCTTTTTTAGGTTTTTTTTTTTTTTTTAACTTCCCATGTAGCTTATTGCAAATAAATCTAACATTAAAAAGCAGATAGTCTAAAACATGAGATCTATTTTGTGGCATGGTTGATGATATTTCTTATGTGAAGCGGAATTTGTGTTAAAAAAAGGGCTCAAATCTAAACATATAATAAAGTGTAATTTGTGTGCAGCTAATTTTCTGGTAATAAAATACATAGAACATAGAAAAGACTATAGCTCTTCAAACACATTAAACCATGATACAGAGATTATTACTCTAGATCTCATAAACTACAGCAATAAGACATCAAAACCCAGTACACACATAAAATATGTACGTAGCAACAATTAACAATTAATCTTGCTAAGCACTCAATTCAGTCTCTAGATTTATTAATTGCTATACAAGTAAGTTTGCATGATCACCTAACCAAAGAACCCATCCCATTGATGGAATTCAGGGGCACGGTCCCTATGCCCACTGAGTTTTCTGATTCATTTTCATGCCCTACATTCTTCCTTGCTTTCACGGTTGCTAAACAGCCGCACAGTTCAGCCACCACATTCTTCATTGTAGGCCTTTCTGCGCAATTTGAAGACACACAGGCCATTGCTGCTTCTAAAACTCTCCAGGCAGAATTAACGTCAAAATCTTCATTCAATCTTGGATCAACAACGCTTTTGATATCACCCTTTGACAGCATGAATCTAACCCACTCACTAATGTGAGTCTTCTCAACAGTTTTTGAAATCACAGGCCGGTTTGTAATGACCTCTAAAAGGACAACCCCAAAACTATAAACATCACTTTTCTCAGTTAACCTTAGTGTTTCATAATACCTGCAGGAAATATATTAAAAGGTTGGTGGTTTGAATTGAAAAATAATTGAAATTCTATATCTCTTGGACGTGGGATGGGAATATGTACTCACTCCGGATCAAGGTATCCAGGAGTACCAATAACAACTGTTGACATGTCACTGTCACCTTCCATGGATAAGGGCTTGGACATACCAAAATCAGCTATTTTAGCTTGGAAGTTTTCATTCAGTAAAATGTTTGTAGACTTCACATCTCTGTGAATTATGGGCTGTTTACAGCCATTGTGCAAATATTCCAGTCCTGCATTTGAACTTCATTAGTTTACTTTTAACATTTAGAAACTAGAAGCTGTTTGGTTAGAGGGGAGGGGAGGGGAGCGGAGGGGAGCGGAGGGGAGGGAAGCTTATTTTAACCAATTAAATTATTTTGTTAGGTAAACTGATTTAATTTAATTGGTTGAAAAAAGCTTCCCCTCCCCTCCCTTTCCATCAGACCAAATAGGTTCTAGAAGACCCTATAAAGTAGAATGGCGAATTGGGCCAAATGCGCAGATTCTAGACCTGATGCTGCATCCACCACTATTTGAAGCCTTTGCTCCCAACTCAGGATATCAATGCTGCTCTCTATAGAAAAAAGCAAAAAGCTTTGTGAGATCATAACAGATGTCTGAGATAAAAGACACTAGAATAAAAATTTAGCAAGTGAACTCAAACCTGAAAGATGGCCAAAAAAAAAATAAAAAAAATAAAAAACCTCAAACCTGAAAGAAGCTCTGCTAGATTTCCTTTGGCCATGTACTCATAAATTAGCCCCAAGTTGTTTCCCTCATCACAATATCCAATAAGGCTTATCAAATTTCTGTGATGAACTCTCAAGAGAAGTGTAACCTAGAGTCAAAATGTAGAATCAAGATCAGGTTGTTTTTTGTAACTGTGATTTAATATCTTAAAATCTATCCCAAAATGTACTCAGGTGCTTCAAGGTAAAACTTCTGTATCAATTAGGGTCATCACCTCGGCTTCAAATTGCTTGTATCCCTGATGTGATGAATGAGAAAGCATCTTCACTGCCACTGGAGTGTCACCTAAGTGGCCATGAAAAACTGTTCCAAAACCTCCTTTACCAAGAATTCTCTCGAAATTATTTGTGATCTTTAGGACCTCAGAGTATGTTACATGTAGATTCCTTGGCCCCAGTGAGTGGTAATTTCTAGCACCACTAGCTAATAAAAGAAAGATCAGAACAAGGATAAGGTTTTTTTTTTTTTTTCCAGGAGCATTTTTTGGTACTTCACTTTTAAATGATTGACAAATTTTTTTAGTTTAGCATTTCATACCTGTAACTTTTCTCCTTTTAAGCCTCCAAATGATACCCAATCCAATTATGAGGACCCAAAGTGAAGATGAGATTACCACTGCAACAACATTCTTGATACTTTTCTTCTTGCATGACATTGAAGCACAAAGATCTGGATTTCCTTCGACGCTAATTTAGCCAAATTCCAGTTAAAACATATTAGACAAATAATTTGTGGAGAGATGGAAGAATGGAAAAATATTGGAGCCTTTTCCAGAAGGAGCACATGCCTTAGTTGTAAACCATTTTCTGACATTTCAATTAGTTTGGCTGGAACTGAACCCTTGAGCATGTTTGCTTTCAAATTTCTGCAATTTGCATAGCAGTAATGAGTTTATTACCTAGAAAGAAACACCTTTTTAAGTGATAATCAAAGTAGCTTACAGCACTTTCAGGGACTGCAGCTGAGAAAGAAACTCAGGTACTGATCCAGTCAACCTATTATTTGATAAGTCCCTGGTATGTGAAAGAAAATCGGTAAGCTTATGTTTCTCAAGAGGTATCTGCAACTCTCTACTGGTCCTTGGAAATTGAGATACTTACAGATATTGTAATTCAATGAAATCAGCTATATAAGGAGGTATTTCTCCTGTCAAGCCGCTGGAAGATAAATTCCTGTTCCACAGTTAATTGTTCATTTAACAAAGATACAAATTAAATGTAAACTATTGATAACTAAAAGAGAAAGACATAACTTACAAGGATATGATTCTAGGCGCATCATTATCGCTGCAGTTAAGACCTTCCCACAGGTATGCTGAAGGAGCACAAGGATCTCCTTGCCAGTTTCTCTTCAATCCATATATTGATTTTATATTCAAGAGAGCATCAACTACATTATATTGAAATATCAATGAGAATTGGTTCCACTTTCAACATCAAGGATTTTGATTCTGAGTTGTAAAGAAATTACCATCTCGTTCAGCTGTTTGTAACTTTGAGAACTGTTTTTCCATATAAATCTCAATGGCATTAAGAATAGGTGGAAGGGTTGAATCTTCTGCACTGTAGATTGAAAGGCTCCCTTCCTGTCCACCATTCAATTCAACCTTGAAGACTTTAGTGGTTGCCTTCAAATACTCAAGACTAAAAGGCTCAAACTGAGAGTCATTGTAAGAGACAATCAATTGTCTTGGCCCTTCAGATTCTAGCTCTTCTACTTCAGCAAAGTGCATGTAGACATAAAATTTGGCATCTGAGTCCATTGTGCCAAGGGGAAAATCTAATGACTGACTACGATCATCATCAGGCGCTGCAGCAGTCCTCATTGCAAGGGATGGTGGTTGGTAATCATTGTCATTTCCAGGGTCAATGGAAAGTTCAGTTGTTTTCTGTGTCCAATCATACCTATCTAAAGGCTCCCAATAACGGTCATAAACATCTTCTTTAAATCTGGTCCAAGCAGAGTTGTAAATAAACTTGTTTTCTTACAAAATGGAATTTCATCTTGATATTGGAAATAGGACTAACCTGAATCCTTTGCTAGCTGTTGAACCAACATCATATCTTCTGAAGCGCTCCAGCCATCCAGTTTGACTTTCATAAATTGTATTCTTCAATGGCCTTAGCACTAATGCTGATATGAATGGTGTCCCTTTGCCGGTGTTTACAAGACAAACATACAAGTGATTTGACTGGAGGGTGTGAATGATCTCAAAGGCTTTGGAAGCTGACGCATTTTGTAATAACACTGCACACCACAAGTTAGGTCCAAGATACAGATCAAAGTGTGGGGTTTCATTTTTTCCATCGTAGTTTCCATACATGAACGATGCTCTGATTAAATACTGTTCACCCTTAGCCAAGTTTAGGTTGTAACAGTTTTTGGCCCCTTCAGGGAAGCTCCTAACGTTGTACATCTGTTGCTGTTTTTCCAAATTGAATTCAGGTAATACTCTCTTACTAATGCCAGTGTCTATATATTGAGCATCTGAAGTATAATTAATGCCCGTTTTAAGTTCAGAATAGCTTGAATCTTCTGGTAACCCACAATCTAAACTTATGAAACCTGCGGTAGAAAACATAAGAGGAGGCCTAATTAAATTTCCTTCAATAGATATACATAATTCAAAGTGTTGCTCAAAGATCTAGATACCGAACCTGTTTGATCCTGAGCATTAATGAGAATTGCAAGAGCAAAGCTACCAAGCAATGGAAGTAGGAAAAAACTTAACGTTTCCATCCTAGCTTTCACCTAGGAAACTGATAGAGAAAGCAATTAGTACCTTATAACACACAACACAACACAATACGACTAAGTTGCACATAATAAAATAGAATGCATGACCTACATATAAATGCAAAGTATAAATGGAATAAAATCAAGCATTTCTTTTTTTTTTTTTAATCCAAAAAGTTAAAAATTTTTCTAAATGATGTTTATTTGACAATTTTGTTTTTGTGCTCCAAGCATGCTCATGGGATTAAAGTCGATTGGGGTTCAAGCATTGTAACAACAACTAAACATGATAATTTCTCATGTACCCAAGAAGATAAAAATGAAAGCTCCAAACTTTATACAAGAATTCCAGAAATTATTAGTATATATATCATGAATTTATTATCAGAAAACTTGGAAAATATTTGTGCACTAGTTACCTGGTTTTCCAGCACCAAGGTAGCTTCCTTCTCCCAAAGATTGGTATTCTTCCCAGGAAAGTTTATCATATCTTCTTGGGAAGGATCTGCTTAGTCCGGAAATGAGAGTCCATGGCTACATGTTTATAACCGTTTCGTAGCACTTAATTCAAAGCAATGACCAGATGTCTGGAGTAAGGAGAACGCTAACAACTCATCTCTTCTAATTAGTTCGTAGAAGTTGGGATAGGGAAGACAATAATTTAATGAAGAACAGTTTTGATTTTGAAAATTCAAGTTGAAGCAGAGCAGCTCTTTTCTTTTCTTTTTTTTCTTTTTTTTTTTTTGAACTTATGAAATTTTTAGGGGTGGGAAATTAGTAATGCCTGGGTGTAGAAGTCAATTTTATATTCTAACACCTTCCCTTTTAGGTATGACCACTAGACCATGTAGTGTCGGACAAGGAAAGCAAAGCGGCTGATTGTCCATGGCCTGTGGGACCAGAAATTGCAAGAAAAGAAACTGTGGATAAGGTAGCATGTGCATGCTTCCTTTGGTCTTGACGAAATGTCTAAAAGAAATAAAATGAGGAACTCATTGATCCAAAAAGTCTTCGACCCCATGTATGGTTCTCGCGTGTAGAGCGGAAAGCCGGAAATTCTCTGCAAACCACACCCCAGAAATGACTTCTGGGTTTTGGTCGTCCAAAATTTCTCCGAGAAATAATCCATGTCCCCAAAAGAAAAATTTCCTCGACCCCTAAACGGGGGAAGGTTAGTAGCAACAGTGATTATTTTCCTGCGCAAAATTTTTTAAAGCATATATGCTGGTAAATGGCAGTGCATCCAAAGAAGTCAATATAACCAACGAGTTGAGGCAGGGGCATTCATTATTGATTATTCCCTTCATTTTTCTTATAGCTGCGGAGGGGCTTAATGGCCTTATTTCTTCGGCATTTGAAAGATTCTGCTATACGGTATTCGGGTGGGTTTTGGACAAGGTTAAATTACCAAATTTAGTTCCTTAACTTTCAGTTTTGGGATGAAATGATCCTTAAACTTAAAAAAAAATACTAAAAGTAGTCTTTAAACTTGAATTTTCCCGATGCCAATTTTGTTTTTCTATCAGTTAAGTTGCTGACATGGCAATGTTTTCTATTTAAGTATTTTCATCTTTTCTACTTCTAAATATAATGTGGAATTTTCGAATGGTCATGTAATAGTGTTTTACATTAAAGAAAGGATAATGATATGTATATAATATTGATAGGTTTTTATCCCTAAAACTTGAAAAACTATTATCAAGGATTCCTTCAAAAGAGCATGTCACTAACAGTCTACACAAATCTATTTCTTAAATGAATGTATTGATATTTGCTCACTAAGAACAAGTTGTACCAAAAGTATAATCCTTTGTGGCACCGTCGTGTTCTAATTGTGAATTGGCAAAATCCCCTTTTAGACCTCCAAATATACCCCAAGTTAACACATGAGTCTCTAAACTAAAAACAATGCAAATAAGTCTTTGAAATTCTCAAATATTGTAAATTAACTCTTAAACCTCTCAAAAGATGCAAATCAGCCTTCATCATTAACAACCCTATATATGTGATCTCACGTCGTTTGTTCTTTTCCTTTGCTTGATTTCACTTTTCCACATGGATCAAATGACCTCTTATACTATAAAAATCCCATCAAATGACCCACAAGGCCCTTTTTTTTATTTAACATTCTCAAGCGATGTGGGCCATTTTGGTGGGATTTTTATCACACAATGGGTCTTTTGATTCACTTAGTATCTATGTGGAAAAGTGGGACAAGCAAAGTTAAAGAATAGAAGAAACAAGGTCACATGTGTTGGGTTGTTAATAGAGGTGGGCATTGGTACAATACTAGACTGTACTGGATTAATTTTATATTATACTGATTATATTTGGTCCTTTAGTTTTGTACCAAGTATTAACCTAAATATATTTATCTGGTACACTATTCAATAGTTGATACTCGGTATTTTTAAGATAAAAACCAAGTATTGACCCAATGTGTACCAACTGGACCATTTGCACATGGACCCATTTAGCTTTTTGCAATTATATAATCATATTGTCCTGCTACGTTTTCTTTAATCATGATCTTTCTACACAAAAGCCCCATTTTTCAAAGATAAGGAGCAAAACAGGGGCTTTTCCTTCTAATCTAACAGATAAAATACAAATAAGAAACGAAAGCCCCAAAGCCCCAAAGCAGCATCACAAAGATGGGGCATGCAATTCTCTCACTTT